TGTCACATATCCAGTTGCGCCCTATCTTTCAACGGGCCTTTCAATGCTGATTCTTGCAAAAATATCAACCAGTTATACCAGTTATATAGTTTAACAGGGTCTGAATTACTACCAGTATGGTATAACGTAGTAGTGAATGATAGGTCAATTTATTATTGTAGTTTTCTTCCCTTGTTCACAGAAAATCTAAACAATTGTCTATCCACTAGTCTAGTTCCACCAAAAAGTAGTACTGACCTATTCTGGACTATTAGTAACATGAGTAACCAAGTTTCCAGTTCTGGAAAGTCCAGTTCAAATTGTTAGTGGAATTGCACTATAATCTACAACTGAAAATGGGTTAAACTGTGACCAATAACTGGGAAATCATTTTACAAAAAATAAGAATCTTGAGCTGCAGAAGCAATGCAGTCGTTTGGGGAGCGCTGTCTGCACCTCAAATAGCTACAATGAATGCACGAAAAAAGACACCGGACACTGCCAAGCCATTACTTAGCCTCGGTCCTTCTTTCTGGTCAAATTTCTCGCAAGAGAGAAGAATCTGGGATAAACGTTAATATAATAATTCACTGTGAAGTTGTGATTCGGTCCTTCTTTCTCTTCGACCACATTTCTCGCAACAGAGAAGAATCTGGGATAAACGTTAATATGAAATTCACGGTGAAAGTTTTGATTTGGTCCTTCTTTCTCTTCGGCCAGATTTACCGCAACAGAGAAGAATCTGGGATAAGCGTTGATTTGAAATTCATGGTGAAATTTTTTATTTTATTTCAATTTTATTTGCTAGTACGATATTCAATTTCGAGCCAAATGCCAGAGGTTGCGAATTTTCACTAAGAAACAGGTTAGTTACTAAGACCGTATCAAACGTTTTCTCTCAGGTTGCGATTCAAACACGCAGATACAAAATTTGTAAGATTGAGACAAGAGCTTGCTTTTTATAAATAATCTTCTTATTCGTTTTTTCAACGAGTCGAACAAAATTTCTTGCTGGCGCCGGGGGATCAAAAAGCAGGTTACCAAATGACATTTTAATGGAATGCGACGTTTCGAAAATTCAATTCGGTAAAGCATGCTCTGGTCTTCAATCAAACTTGCATTAAAGAAAAGCTTCTGCCGAATTACACCAATTTGTCTAAATACTTGTCCAGGATAAATTTCAAGAGGGCTCAAAGCTCAATGCTCTACCTTAGCTGGACTTGCCAATCGTAGCAGAGGAACACAAGTTTCATATCATCGTACAACACAGTATAGACTACAGGCACAGAGTAAAATGTTCTAATCGAAGCCTCGAATGTGGGTGAGCGAGCAGTTCACTGCAGCGAAGAACCAACGGCTAGGAAAACATGGATTTATGTCACAGTTCCACTCTATGATGAACATTCCGTAATAGAAGCATGTACTTTTACTAAAGATTGTAATACAACGTAATACTACTAGTATTATCGTTATAATTATGTTTATTGTAATAGTTATGATTCGAGTGCAAAAGAAAATTTTACTAGATAGCGGCACTTGTGCGAACTTTCATGCTTCAGTTCACTGCTCTGAAAAGGCGCTTGAAAAGCAATATTTTAACAATAAACTCGGTTAAATAATTTATTAAGTATATTCATTTTGAATGAAAACACATGATTGTGAGATTAAATACGAACAAGAAAAGTACGGAATGTGAAAAAATTGAACGTGAAACAATTTTGATGGAAAAAGTTGTGATCGTAGTATTGAATAGAATCCACGATCTGTGGATTCTATTCTATCAAATGCTGCATCGGTGTCGCTAAAGAACGCCGGACTGAACGACTAAATACAATCAGTAACCAGCTATAAAGAGAAGAAAACATCACAAGAACAGTCACAGAATAAAAGCTGCAGCAATGCAATAGCAGAAAAAAAGCTGGTGGCAGAAGCAGCAGCAGTTGGCACTGGGCCATGTGATGGGCAGCGGCAGCAGCAGCAGCAGCAGCAGCAGCAGCAGCGGCAGTAGCAGCAGCAGCAGCAGCAACAGGCAAGTGGAAGCACCGCATCAGCTTGCGATAACACGCTGAAAATGCAGAGATAATTTGTCAGTATGGCAGGGGGCAAAAGTGATACGTAGCTAACTAAAAGGCGTGTTGAAGCAGTGATTCTTCAGTAACTCAATAACTTCAGAAACGTCCATAAAGTGGTAATTTAAGCGGCCACGGCTGTCACGTAATGACGATTGCAGACGCCGATATTTCGGTAACATAATGGCGTTAAGTTATGGCGATATGTCAGTCAGTTAGCAGCGTCTATATATAGAGACGGTGAGACATTGGCCGCATAGCGTCTTAAGAGTCGGCGATAAGTCGACCACATGGCAGCGTTTAGAGACGGCGATACCACTCGACAGCGGCGTTCAGAGGAGGTAATACGTCAGTAACATAACGGCGTTGAGAGGCGGTAATACTTGGGTAACTTAACGGCGTTCAGAAGCGGTACTACGTCGGTAACTTAACAGCGTTCAGAGGCGGTAATACGTCGGTAACTAAACGGCGTTCAGAGGCGGTAATACGTCGGTAACTTAACGGCATTTAGAAACGGTAATACGTCTGGAACTCTATAGATACGACGTGTAGGAATAATTATGCGACTGTAAACTCAACTCCAATCTTTAACAGCAAATAATGCATAGGATAGTTCATCTGTGCGTAGAAGTTACGTGGAAGCAGTAATTCGTCCAAAGGATTCAATCCCTCTAATGTAGAAGGTGATAACATTTAACAGCAGGCTGGAAATTAGGAGGGATAAAAAATGAACATGTTCACAAACCTATCATTTGGAATATAAAAATCTTAAACAATATTGCATTTTTTATCAGTTTTATGAATAGCTAGCATTTTTGAACTGATGAAGTTGCAAGTCTGGATAAATCTTGAATATATGAACAAGCATTCCTAAAATTGCACACTGTTAACGAAACCTCACCACAAGCTGAGCGTAGGATTGAACACAAGTAGCACCGTGAATACGCTCAATATTTTAACGGGATTTAAAATAATAACAATTTATCCAATGATATTGCTCGGGCAAGAGATTTATGTACTCAAATTGATGGGTACGGAAAATGCAAAATTCTGTTATATTGCCTTCTTAGTATACATATTTTAGTTAATGAATGGTATAGAAAAAGGACAAGTGGATAAAATGCAACGGGGAAATAAACTGAAGTACAATTATTGGAATGCCAGAAAGATTGATAATATAAAAAAAGAAGTGAAAGAGATAATATAATACGACGTAAGAAATTATACATCTAAGTGAATGTTAAATACTCATGGTGATGGAATGGGAAAAACGGCAAAAAAAATTAAGACAAACGAGGAAATATTTCGTCTGGAAAGCTAGCGCTAAAACCTCGCGTGAGCGCGCAGCTCAGCCGCCATCTGCGTCGGTAGCAGTCACGCAACCGCTGGCGGGCACCAAACCCTGCTACATATGCATGGAGTGGTAAACCCTGCTATGCATGGAGTGGTAAACCATGCTATGCATGGAGTGGTAAACCATGCTATGCATGGAGTGGTAAACCATGCTATGCATGGAGTGGTAAACCATGCTATGCATGGAGTGGTAAACCATGCTATGCATGGAGTGGTAAACCATGCTATGTATGGAGTGGTAAACCATGCTATGTATGGAGTGGTAAACCATGCTATGCATGGAGTGGTAAACCATGCTATGCATGGAGTGGTAAACAATATGCTATGCATGGAGTGGTAAACTATGCCATGCATGCAGTGGTGAGAGGTATTCGAAATTCGTGAAGTATTTGACATCCTGCGACGAGTTTATTCATCAGTGACGGAATTGAACATGAAATACGGCGAATAAAAAACTGCTAACGTAGAGGTCGTCTTTAGTTATCAAAACAGCTTTGTATTTATATGTGATAATTGACCCCTGTAAATCGTAGTTCTGACCAGGGGCGATACTTTCAAAACTCGCTAAGTGAACGGAAGTACTTACGCTCTATTTTCTTGTCTATGATTGGTGGATTTTGCTTGAAAGGCCGTCAATAATTGGCTGATGAACTTACGATCTCTTAACTTTTTTTGAAAGTATGGGCCCAGAATTGTACGGTTTTTATAGACGAGTGTCAAGCTAAGTGCAGTATATGAGGAGAGGTGACTTATGTGATATTGAAGGAAGCATTAATGACTTTTGTAGAAGGAAACATCAGATCAGAGACCTAAGCAACCTAGTTTTCATTACAATGTAAATGCAAAAGTGCCTACAACTTTTACAAGTCTCCATGCACTACCGGGACCATTATTGGACAATTAGCTGAACAATAGGATTCCTACCTTAGTGTTCAGCTACTGAAGGTGATGAAATTACTAAGGGTGATCAAATCAAAATCTCAAGTACTGAATCGATATTGTCTGTCCTGACGACACGGATTAATTTTTTTTACGTTGAATTTATAAAATAGTGAATTTATGTTTAAATACTGCAATAAATTAAGAAAATATTCACAAATTTCAACCAAGAATATTTAAACCGACATAATTACTTCAATGGATGCATAATGTGAAGAATATTTTAACGAAAAACATATATGGGGATTTTTAATAGATTAGATTCGTATAAGTCAGCAATGAAGACACGGTTTCGCAACACTTATTTAACGGTTTCTGAAATCAATACTAAAAAACAGGGTAAAAGAAATTACTGTATAAAACCTACATAAAAACCTTATATTTCCATTAAAATTGAATCGGCTATAAGCATACAATTAATAATCAATACCTATGAAATTACTGTGGCTCGGCATTCGCAAATAGCTCAGCTGACAGAGCACGGCTGATTAATTAACGAAGCTCGCACAAGTAAACTCGGTCATTAAACGTCAGCTTGGGAGTAGTGCGGAACGTTGTGTTTTAACAAATAGCATATCAACGGAATGAATTATTATTTATATTAAATAACTAATAATTTAATTGAACCGAATATAAATACGGATATAAATTCTAACTTACCGTGCGGAGGAATGAGACGTCATCCTGCTCGGATGAGCCTTCGTTATCAGCCATGCTGAATATGATCTATTCCTTCCTAATTTTCAACTATAATTATGTAACATGACATAATAACAACCAGTCTAACACCGAAAGCTCCTAAACACAACACAGCTATTTTTCCTGATTAAAAGCTGGCACCACCCGCAAACGATCCTTTCGTGCTGCTGGGCACACAGCAGCGCGATATAAAACGCGGCACAGACCGACACAACCCTACTCCACGCCCGCCTTAGGCAGAATGAGCACGTCACGTCTTGGCAGCGGTACAGGCTCGGACCAACTGACTTGCGGATGCGGAACTGGGGCCAACATGAAAAACACAAATAGTTTCTTCATGAGCAACTCGGTTGGACTTCGGATAAACGCAGCTATTGAAGTTGAAGCGTCTATTATTTTCAACAGAAAACTTTCAGAAAAGATCACTATAAGGTTTTCGCACGCACTCAATTTCAGCTTGAAGTACGAAATTATTTGAGCATAGATCGGGAATTGACTTGATATGTGCTAATGACAATCTATTACGGTTAGTATCACATCTGACGCGAATATCATGTATTGAATTTTTTTTACAAAATGGTTACGGAGCACATTTACTTTTCGTTGATACTTTTGGCGTGATTGCGCTGTCGCACTATGGATGCCAGTGACACAAGCGTTTGAATTACACATTTTAATGCTCACAATCAGTCGACTTAACCATTTGTCAACTGATCGTAGCTCTCGTTAACAAGCTTTTAGCTACTAATAAAATTGGTTACGGATAATATACTCGTACACACTGGGTTAATAAATTGGCTAACTATAACAGCATCGTAGTTTGAAAGCTGAAGTGAACATGTGAAGTACAAGTCTGAACTGAACATTGCCTGCAAATTTTGGAGCACTATTCACCAGGTTGTCGACTTCATTGGCAACACAAGTTTATGTTCAATCATTGCATTCAGGGTAAATAATTACAAGAGTAGAAACTAATAGCATTTTAATGGAATAAATGAATTCTAAAGTAAAAGACACTTGCACCAATTCATCACAAAGAAGTTCTCAACAATTAGCACACAAGTTATGAAATCCCGAACAAATAACAACAAACAAACGAATATTTCAATACTACGACCAAGAACGCTAAGCCAATTTCTCCATCAATATGTACACGCACGTCCTCGTAGAACATTGTCAGATGAAACATGAATATATCCTCTAAATTTGCAAACTGCTTAACACGGACAGCGATGAGATCCTTCCAGATAATTTCACCGAGCAACTTAATGCCTTGATGCCAATTTGAGTTTTTTCTTACCTGGAATAGTTTCACACCGTTTATGTTAAGCAAAATCAACTAATATTACTCAGGGGTTAGCGAGACATAATAAGTTCTCCAAGCCAAGAATATAAAAGCTAAGAATACGTCAAATAAATTCAAGATATCTTCTTTGGAAAAAACTCAACGGATGCTGGGGCTGATCAGCGAAACGTTAATGAAGATCTGGTGACTTTATTTTGCGTTTTCTACGTTTTTAAATTCTTGATGGACAACGTATCGATTTAAGCAGAATAATGATGAAGGTTTTCTTAAACTATTCTCTCTGTGTGCGATAGACAAGCCTTGATAGAAACAGCATTTGAGACTTTGTGACAACATTCTTCTTATTCTACAAGACTAACCGAGCGCATACGTGACGGTATTTGGCCTCAACCGCCATGACACATCACACCAAATTACGAAAAATACAGAAATTCGCTCTGGAGAATCTCGCACGCTTAGGGGGATAATTGGCTTTGTATCACAGACATTAAATAGCAGACAATTATTAGGCATTAAATAAGTTACGTTTCTTAATTTTTTATGCAGATTTTACACAAAATGACCTCTCAACATATAAATGGTCGTTCACAAGCCAAAATGATTCACACAATGTTATAATAAATATACTGTGACAGAATCGTAGTTTGAAAAACATAGGAACTCTAGCACGTCTTACTTTTTAATGCAAGAGCTGAAACAATGTCAGATTGCACGCAAAACGTACCTATAGCTGAAAATAACATCTATAGCTTAATTACCAGAGCAAAGAACAACAATAACCTTAAACAGGACTGGGAAAAGTAAGCCACAAACATGCACGCGGATTACCAAAAAATTTAGAAGCAAAGGATACAAGGCAAAATTAATATAATCAGAGGTAAAGTAAATCTAGAACAATAACCTAGTCAGATGCTGCTAGAACGAGAAACTCCGAATGAGGATATAATTGAAATATCTCCCAGAACTATTTCTTAATGCTACTTGGGAGACAGTTGTTCTAGTTTTAAACATTACCTTCTGGATGGATAGATATAACATTAAGAATCATCATTCGTAAACTCTTGAAAGTGATATAATGTCTCTCAAATTGTAACTGTGCTGTAGTAGCTCCTTGCTTCTTGCATGAGGCCGAATTATTACCAATTGAATCTGAAATGCATTATTCTCGCAATTGCGTTCACCGTGTATCTTGAATATTGGCTTATTTTCCATCACAAGTCACCAAACATCGATTCGCTCCTCGATAGAAAAAGGTAGATTCCAAAAATGTAAGGGTTAAATATGCTTAGAAGGAATCTGATCGCGAATTATTCCACACTTAAATATATGGAATCCATTACGTTATTACGTACATTTGATGGTAACCACTCGCATGTCATAGATGAAATCATTTATCCATTAAAGATACATTATTGACGTCGAGGAAAGACAATGGAGAATCATGATGCAGCAGAATAAGCAAAGGTGACAATCCGAAATTCACAGAGATGGACGTTATTTGTTCACTCATTGGACAAACAAATAAAATGGTTATTCAGATTTGCAGGAACAATGACATTTCTGAAGTCTCCTCACGTGAGACTTTAAACGGGTGTGGGCGTTGTAACGTTGGGACTCTTAAAAAATAAATGATTTTCCAGGAAGCACACAAACTGCAAGAATTTTTGAAGTGAGAAAAGCTCTAACGATCATTAGGGACAAACTCGACAACTACTTCATCAAGGAGTCTTTAGACATTAGCAAAATTCGACATTAGGTAATCGTTGACTCATGCAAAAAATAATAAAGTAATCTGGTAAAAAATGTTATTGGAACTCTTGGAATGACCGGTACTTAGCAATGACGGGCAATAATCGACCACTTAAACGCGGGGGAAAATATTTGAGAGAAGAGAATGAGCCTACACGTCAGCGCTATGTCACTCAACATTCATACCACTTTACTCAATTGATCATGCCACACAGAGCATTTGACTTCATCGTTGTCAACATCAATACAGATAGAAAATTGATAAATTCACAAAACTTCCTGCCATTGCACAACTTTCAATAATCAATGAAAATTTCAAGTGGTAATTCACCGCATGTTGTGGAACTACTGCACTGGTCAGGTTTTTGTGACAATCCTCTTGGACAAGCTTGTTCCTGACGAGTCCTGATCCTTCACGACATCTGCGTTCCCTGTCTTCAGGCCGTGCGTGGGAGTGGCGCCCGTCTGTGTGGTGGCTGAAGTGGTGAAGGTTGAGTTCGTTGGGATCGCGGCAGAAGAAGACGTGAGCGTCGTCAGTGTTTCGGCGATGCGCGTCTTGAGGCGCTCTAGGTTGAAGAAAGCCTCGATCCGCTCAGAGGGGCTGAGCTTCGTCTCGATAGCGCGAACCTGAGTCCAATGTTGCCGGCGGCTGTCCTCCGACATGCTAGAGTCGACTCTGCAACACCGGACCGTTACAGCACAAATGAAAATACTTGAAACTGAACTTGCAGTGCAATATCAAACGAGAGAATAAACTTGCCTTTACAGATTAATAATATTAACTTGTATATGCGAAGGATAGGTAAGTCATAATTAAATTCGCAAAAATTCAAGAAAGCTTGCTAATTTATCTCTGAATGAGCCAGATGGAGAAATTTGCTCGTAACTGCATCGCTTTCTCAATGTAGTTTACTTGCAGAAGAATAAGTCTGGAATGCTGGACAAGGTTTAAATAAAGATAAATATGATAGGAGAGGCTACAGAATACAGCGTGGGCTATTCCAAACTCACTTGAAGGTGTGAGGATCGATGTAGAAGTTCCACAGTGTCCACAAAACCAGCAGGACCAAGATGCCAAGCCAGAGAGACACTATGTGCCTGAAAATAATGTCGAAGAATTGATTATTTCAGTCAGTCCCACGTACAAATTCTTGATGATTGGTAAATAGATTAGTAAGTCGTAGAACACCCAGAAAGACATTATAATTGTACTCCTACTTTTTGAATACAATAGAAGAGCTAAATGGCTTAGTTGTTTCAGGATCGTCTGATAACTAAGCTATCTGCTGGTTACCTCATGATATTCACCATTGAAAATTTGCCAATTTTTTAATCATTTTAGTGCATTGTTTAAATTTTCAACATGCCTGACAATACTCGACTCATAAAATGTACCTAGTGTTCATTTAGGCTTTAATTAAATTATTTTTACGTGACTTGGACATTGACGCTTACTGTGCCGACGACATGAATGATACCTAAACACCAGTCCCGCCTTCACAACAGTACATAGTACCTGGGGAAGGGGATGGTCACGGTCTCCCAGCCAAACTTGAGCACGATGAGCAGCTCCGTGCAGATGATGGCCAGGAATATCCAAGACTGGCGACCAATTTTATCAACATCACTGTGAAAAAAAATCACAGTAAAAGAGCTGCGTTGAATTTATAGGACAGCAAGTTGCCTATTTAGAATTTTAATAAATTTAAATGGCTCCCCATGGGATGAAGAAGGTCCTTAAATTTAGAAAATATTGTCCCATGCGGATACTTAGTGTAATGAAATCAATAATGAAATGGTGAAAACATTTTTAGTGCAACATATTGTGTTAACGGCAACATTAATAGAAGGGGCGAAATTTCAAATTGTGGCATATTACAACGGAAAACACGCCAGTGAGCCATTGCCTTAAGGGTTTGAAGAATACAAGAGCTAGATAAATCAAAATTCAAGACTGAATTAATAATTAGCATGACTAAGTTCTGTGAACCCACGGGTCGTCGAGGAACTGGAATGTTTCCCTGAGCGCCACAGCGCCCCAGGGCAGCACGAGCAGCAGACGGCACAGGTTGACCCAGTGGCCGGGGGGTATCCAGAGTACGAACTTCAGGTAGAACGTGTTCAGTTCTACCAGCAGGAACTGGTGAGTAAATATGGACAACATGAGAGAATAAGCATAATTTTGAATGTTTGGAAACCTCTAGTCATTGACAAATGAAATAGCTGCGTTGTTACGGGATATGAGTAAATAATAGTGTTGAGGAAATCGCTTCTTGATTAGTAAATAATATGTTGGCAATGCCGATGTAAAGAACTGATGATCGAATAACAACAGATATTAATTATAGAAATAATTTGGGACACAAGTAAGAAATTGTGCCAAGATGAAAAGCATCGCTTGTACAGGGATGTTAATTTCCATGAAATAAGTGTAAAAAAATTGCTCATCAAAAAAGGTTATGATTAGAGCGTCCATAAAATAAGGCTGGTTGAAAATAAAGTAACTGACGCCGGCAATGAGGAGCAGTACGGCGCACCAGCGTCCCAGAGACGAGAACGGCTTCCAGTCATAGTCCACCCACACGTAGGGCCCAAACTGTGCTAAGATCCGACGCAACTTCCCTCTGAAAATTAGATGATTGCATTGAATATTTTTATTACGAATCAACCGCTGACCATTCATCAAGCACTTGAAAACTCAATGTATTTACACAAAGCAAAGAGATATATGTTGATATATTAAGGCTAGATAATGACTTGGTGCTGACAAGTTGTGGGTGAGGTTGAACGTTCTAATTATTCAGGCTGAATAAGGACTAGCAAAGAATGGAAAAATCAATGAACTCAATAAAGTATAAGTCAAATAACAGCTTAAGAGATGCACTAAAAACGTCAATATATAATAAAATTATTTAAAACGAGGTACTGATCAGCATTGACTGTCTTAAATTTTAAAAAGGAATAAACCTAAAAACAAACGACACTATATCGACGTTAATAAGACATCAGGGTAACTAAATGTACATGAAATGCACTTGACAATCAATCAAGTGACAATCAATCTTCAGTGACTAAATGAGATCAGTATGACGATTTGGCTTACCTGTAGGAAGGGATGTTCCAGAGGCCTCTCCAGTGGTATGTCTTCATGCTAAAGTAGTTCAGAGTGAGCAAGCCAAAGTAAATACCCAGGCCATTGCATACCAACGCGTCCATAATCCACTGAAAAACATGACAGTAAAATGCATGGTTCATCTTCATGGTGCCTGTAAAACAATATGTTAAAGAGATGTGACAAATAAACGATATGATGAAGAATAATGATGAATGAACAATATGATAAAGAGAAATGATGAATGAATGATTTGATAAAGAAATGATGGATGAATGATACGCTGAGGATAAATGATGAGTAAACAATATGATAAAGAAAAACAATGGATGAACGACATAATAGAGTTCAGCTCATGAAGAGAAATGATGAATAAAACAGATGATGACGAGAGTTTGGGCCACAAAGAGAAATACTGCACGAATGAAACAATATTGGAATATAGATCAGAGATGGCAGATTAGTGGTGGTAACTCACGTGGTCCCACCAACACTCAGAGAAATTTGGTAGTTGGTGCTCCAGGGTGTACTCCAGCACCTCGAACATGATGGAGATCACCCAGCACAGCCACCAGTCCCGCAGCAGCAAAGTTTTGGACCACCACCCAAGCAAGTGCAGAGGAACAAACAGATCCATTTTATCCTGAACACAAATGCTTCAATAAATTATGCATTAGACATAGTTTGATGATAATGCGGCATCTGAACAAACCAGCTCATTTTTCTTAGAACAAATCAATGTTTATATATATGATGGAAATTTTCGTTTTTTTTTTGTGAAGAAATTTCAATCTCATTTTGTTAGCAAGCACATGTCAGTTAATTTGTTTTGGTTATGGGATGAATAAATTGGATTTGTGCTTATCATAAAGGGTGAAAATCCTTCATTGTTTGTAATACTTTCTGGAATGGAATAAGCACAATGAATATATTCATACTATATTGAATCTAACAATACCAATCAAAGAGCAAGGTACAATAGGTGGCAATGTTGTAGGTAGTTCAAATTAAAAATTAAAGAAGAACCAACATAGAGGCACTCCACTTTTAATCCAATGAGAAAGTGTCCAAAACTAGAACTTTACTATCCATAAATCTAGGGATTTGTAGAGCATTATAGAGTCAATTCCTACCCAGATGTTGTGATAAGGATCTTCGGGCATGGATGGATCATACAGCAAGCAGTTGCCGCCATAGTCCTTTTCTTCAAGAGGCACTCCAAGCTTAGGGTCCAAATGTTTCAACAGCTTTCTGGCTGTATCTGTGCTCTGTAAAGAATAAGTAAACATTATTTTGATCAAGCCAACCAAAAGAATTTCCTGACCACTTTTAAACAACGTGTCCTATTCAGAATATCAAACAACATTTCAATAAACTACAAGATGAATTGTGAATTGCAAGTTTCTTGGTTCTAGGGTAAAAGAAAGCTTGTGTTATCCAACAGCAGAAGAAGAAGAAACCTCTAACCTGGTACAAGAAGAAGATGAGGCAGAGCTCATAAACAATGGAACAGGTGAAGGTGAAGCGCCATAGGGCTGGGTGTGGTCGCTTGAAGGGTCCATCGGGAGTGACAGTCACACCAAGAAGAACAAAACATGACACCATTGCCACAAGACCCCTGTAATGTGCAAAGTATTTCAGTGGTAGTAGATCAATTTTTTAAATCTATTGTGGGCCAGCATTCAATAGAGTATAGGAAAGAATTAATTGAGCCTCAACCTTCAAATTTTAGATTTGCTGAGTGTGCCAAAAATTTTCAAATATGGAGGACCTTTTTTTAATCCAGTTTATTCATTTTTACAGCTAAGGTCAAGTAGCTCAAATTTGCTACTTGAGCAAAAAATTGCTCGACATCTCCTTGCTTGGCTCAGTTACCGTTTGGTGTTGTCCACAACATTTTGATCCTCAGTAGACAGAGCTTCATACAGTAAGAATCCAACCATAAGAAAGAGGGTTGTCAGTGTGTGCGCTCTCCTGTTAATGAACAGAAGAAAAAGTGAAAAACAAGTGTGTATATAATATATATATCAAATAACTATAACATCATAGTTTTAGTTAACTGATGCATTAAAAGAGCTGCAGTAAGATTTTAAATAAGTAAAATTGATAGCATATTTAATAGAATACATGAACCTGTTATTTGCCATTTAGCAATTAGAAAGGAGATTCATCAAATAAAAATTTGGGAAAATTTTTTCAATATACATACCAGAAATAGGTAAGAGTGCCATCATCAAAGAAATTGCCTTGAGCTGGTGGTTCTCCTGTCCAGTCATGAGTGGGCGGGACTAGATTTTCTTGAGATTCATGGCTGTTTTTCCGTCTTTTCCTTCCCCTCTCAAAATTGCCACACTTGCAGCAGCTTTTGACAGAACTTGAGTAGCTAGATTCATAATGAACAGACTGGGACACAAAAGGGTTGTTAAGATTTAATTCTGGTTGATCTTCAGAGTAGGTTTTGCTAAAGGAAAAAGAAGATTTTCCAGCAGCAAAATCAGTACTAGATGCTGGTAATTTGGATGACATTGCATACCTGAAATGAAATCAATAGAATTTTTTACATAAAAAATAGTTCTGAAAACCTTTTAGAAGTTAACATTGAGTATTTGTTTACTAGAAAGTTTTAAGAAAAGAATGGACAAGTGCTATTTTAGAGAAGCAAAAACTGCCAGAGACTGGCAGAGAATGATATATTTTCAATTAATTTGGAATCTTGGCACTCAATTTGAATTGTGCACTTTTGTTAACAATTAAATATGAGCCTATTACTATTCAGGACAATAAGGAGGTTAACCATTTAATGGGAATCCTGCAGATCCAAATAAAATACTTAAAAAAAAACTTTTTAAAAATTCACATTTTTCTTGTGGACTTAATAGAAAATAAATTATGGCTCACCCCAACATTTGATCAAATTGTAGATTTATGATTAAAGCAAAAAGCACACAACACACGAATTTTGGAAATTTGATGGTGAACGTACAGACCAACTTACGTTTTTTGGGGTGAGCCATAATTTATTTTCTACTTTCAAGTCCATAAGAAAAAACATGTTTTTTTAAAAGGTTTTTTTTAAGCATTTTATTTTCTACTTTTTAGTCCACAAGAAAAACGATTAAGACTTGATTAAGTATGACTTGATGTACGTATCAATGATACGCAGCATCAGCACCTGCTCGTCCATAACGTCAGCGCCCACACGTCATACTATATATATATACTTTACTCAATTAAGCTAATTTAGGTCTCTAATTGCTAGTCTTTCATGATTATATCTGAAATTGTTAGGCAAAAATAGCCTGCATGCCGAATTCTAGATCTCCAGAGCAATCAGAAGTGGGCTAATTTTTGTAGTCAATGTTAACAAACAAATCCAAAAACAAACAAACGCAAAGCTAAGATAAGAAAATGGTAGGAAAGTTCAAGTTGTGGAACAGAAGGGTTTCACAGAGGGAAGCCTATATTAAATGCCTGAATCTCAATAAGAATAGCTAAAGCTGGATTTTTTAGAAACCAGTTTATTTTCAAAGTTGAAAAGAATTGTCCTCCAGTTCAAAATTGTATTCAGCATCATGGTAGGCCTAATGCAGTAATGCTGATATCAGTGATGGCAAGGCTGTGGCCTGTGAAAGCCTGTGATGCTTTACTGGTCAATTCATATTTCAAATTCATAGGTCTAATAGGTTATTCAAAAATCAAGAATCTGAAATGGTCTCTGCTTTGCCACTTTGCAGGCTTGCAGCTTGCACTTTGCAGCCTGTGAGCAGTGAGCCTAATATCATAGTGATATGTGATATCTGTCACTGTCAGTGTCAGGCTGACTGTCACTGAAATTCAGCAATCAGCATTTCAGCAATTTGCTAAGATTAACAATTCATGTTGTTGGCCATCAATAATAAATAAAACATTCAGTTTCATGCTCAGATGCTCTTGCAGTGTGAAAATGGCAGAGAAGCTCAAGCCTTTATCATTGTAGTTTGTAGGTAGCTAGCTACCGAAAAATAATTAAATAAGGAGCATATTTTCTACATAGTACAGTGCACACCTTCCCAAATTTAATTCACCATAGGTATCGTATCTATATTGATATTGAAAATGGTTTGTACTTTGTACTTGTAGTCCAGCTCCATCATCAGTCCAAAAAGCTAAAAAAAATGAAAACAATCCTATAATTCAGACTGACAATCCTATAATTCAGACTGACAGACTCCAAAGTCAGACATTAAAGCCTAAAATTGACAAATATGGTTAAAATCTATATTGATATTGAAAATGGTTTGTACTTTGTAGTCCAGCTCTATCATCAGTCCAAAAAGCTAAAAAAAAAAATGAAAACAATCCTATAATTCAGAGTTTTTAGACTGACAGACTCCAAAGTCAGACATTAAAGGCTTAAACTAAAGCCTAAAATTGACAAATATGAGACAAATCAAGCCAAAAATCTAAATCAAACTTGCAGAGCCTAGAAAATAAAACCAAGCGTTTAATAGTCTCAATAGTAGTAGTAGATACCCAGTCTGTAGAGTATGGCCTTTTAGCTCGAGATATTGGCGTCTTTTGAAAATTTTTATCAGCCACCTCGACCTTACATTGGCGTCTTTTGAGGATCTTCATCAGCCATCTCGACCTTACATCGGCGTCCCGTTGCGGTCACCGCGATCTGAAAGGTGCGGCGTGAGCACCGGAGGCCCATTTTGGGATGTACTCCAGCATGCCAGGAAAAAAAGTTGCCAGAATGTTTGCTAGAAAAACCAAAGTGCATATCTGACCATTGTCTGATGATCGATACTGAGGCACATGCTTTACGACTGATTCGGCCAATGCCCAACAATGATGCACGCACTTGCGCGATCGACGCAGCTGTTGCTCAATGATTGACATAGATGCCCAAACTTTACGATCAATGATCGACACGGATGCACGCATTTTACGAGCTATGATGAATTTTAGTGGAAAAAAAATTATTATGTAACTTTGCTATTTTTGAGGATTCATTATAATTATTCCCATATATTCTTAAGTTTGATTGGCACGGTTTTGCTTAACATGGTAAAACTCGGGGATTTATTAACCGCATTAATCAAGAGATTACTGTATGGCTCACCCCAACATTTGCTCAAATTGTAGATTTATGATTAAAGCGAAAAGCACACAACACACGAATTTTGGAAATTTGATGGTGAACGTACAGCCCGACTTACATTTTTTGGGGTGAGCCATAATTCATTTTCTACTTTTTAGTCCACAAGAAAAACGTGTTTCTTTAAAAAGGTTTTTTTTTCTAAGCATTTTATTTTCTACTTTTTAGTCCACAAGAAAAATGATTACAACTTCATTAAGTATGACTTGATGTACGTATCAATGATACGCAGCATCAGCGCCTGCTCGTCTATAACGTCAGCACCCACACGTCATACTATACCGTAAAATGGGGTAACTTAGACCAGCGGGGTAACTTAGACCACTTTTCGTTTTTTCAACAAAAACCCCCACAACTCAAAAACTATTTGACATAGAAAAATTTTGTCAATGGGCATTAAAGGCCTAATACTGAGGCTACATAACACAATAGAAA